AGGGTATTTGAGTATGCACAAAGAAATGAGATTTTGATCCAGCTGGCAGGGATATCAGAGGCAAAAACAGTTTGGGTTAAGTGTGCAAATATTAAGAAAAACTAATAGGGAACATTAATAATTATTTCCCCATGAAATGCTAATTATCAGTTATCAAAATGCAGATAGCTCACAGCAAAGCAAAGTTGGATACTTATTTGAAGAGTATAGCCTGACATATGTAAATATGAAAGTAATTGTGATTATCATTGGGAACTTTGCAAGCAAAACCAAATCCTACAACTACGGTGGATTTGGTTGATGATGCCGACACTGTTGCAAATCTTTTAAGGTGAAGTAGTAATAGGTCTGTGAATGGAAAAGCCATTTTCACTTTCAAAGAAAATGATGATGGAGTCATCCCTGGAGAAGATGTGCATAAAAACAAATACCCACACCACAAAAACTTGGCGGTAGAGCCAGAAGGCAGCAGTGGGTAACATCAACAATTTGATGTTATGGAGTAGGCAAGAGCTATGAAGAGAATTGCAGTTAATTTTGTCTTCATTTGAATTTCATTTTGTTCTGAACATGAGGTCATGTGTCCCAGGCCTTGTTTAAGAAAATTGACTTTTGATGGGCTCAATTGGTAGAATTGATGCTCAACATTAAACAGAAATAAAAGTATTTAAAATTAACTCAGTCTTAAACACATTCAGCAGTAATACTAATCAATTTAACACTGATAGATGATGATAATCTCTGCCTGCGTTTCTCTAAAAGTCACCACATGCCAAAATAAGGACAAAACAATTATGCATTTTATAATAAAGTACTTGCAACCCTCCTGCCAATATTTAAATTAAAAATATACAGTGTATCACCAGTGAGAGGAAGCCACAGTCAACTTCTTCCCCGAGCATAAATAACCCACATAAAACCCACTTCCTGCTCAGATCATCTCTCACAGATAAATGACTACAGCTCTCGAGGAGACACCATCTTTTATCTATAAAGAGATAAAGAGAACGTTTCATTATGACGGCTGGTGTAAGACACCTTCTAGGCTTGACCTTGGCCATCGTCAGCTTTGTGGGGACCATTGTCATCTGTGCTCTTCCACAGTGGAGAGTCACAAAAATCTTCCAGCAATCCAGCATCGTTGCTTCCCAGGTTTGTGGAAAGTCTGTAGTACCTTTAGTGCACAGATTGTGGAGTGCAAAGAGTATGAGAAAACACTTGTGCCTACACAAGTCAAGACCTGTAGGTTGCTAGAGCATTCACTGTCATCACCATTGTCACTGGTGTCTTTGGGATCCTGCTTGGTGCTGCTGGGAGCAAATTCATCAACTTTGTGCCAGACGAAAGGAAAAGGAGTAAAATAGCTATGGCTTCTGGAGTTGTTTGTCTCATTGCAGGCACCTTTGTGCTAATACCAGTCTGCTGGACCACCATCGCCACCATCCAGAATAATTTCAACAGCTTTCTGCCCCATGGCACTCTGGAACTGGGAGCCTGGCTTTATATTGGCTGGATCACCATAGCACTTCTGTTCCTGGGAGGAGGCCTCCTCTGCAGCTCCTTTATCTGCCGAGATGGAACTGACTAAAACGTTGAGTACGCCAACCCTTGCTCTTTGTAAAGAGCCATATTTACAAAGAGGATTTATTTAGTTACTCATATTAACCTAAGCTTAGAAATCCAGCAGTCTGTTGAAAATGAAACAAAGGTTGAATGAGTAGAATAAGAGTCTAAAATAAGTCTAAAATTGAATTAAAATAGGCAGAAATATTGGTAATTTTAGGATGTAAATTGATTCTTGATTTTGTTGTATTTTATACCATTGTAGAAACTTTTTGTTTTCATGTTTATTGTTTAGGCTGTTTACTATAAACTTGTGGACACAGTTTTCCTTTTTTCTGTGATCTTTGTAAAAATCAAAAGCATGTGCATTCAAAATATATAAAACATGATTGTGTGGCTTAAATCCAGATCTGATCTTTGACTTTTTCTTTATTAAACTGTTCAATATTGATTATTATGTTATTCATTTGCAGTTGCATTCAGAATATTTTTCTGCAGTATTTGTTTAATTTGGGGGTGGGGGATGGGGCGATTAAGTATGACTGTATTGTAACAGTAAAATTGTCACATTAAAATGCCTGGTTATAACATGAGATCATGTTTTGGGGTTTGGGGAATTTTGAGTTTTGTTTAGTTTTTTAAAGATGTCTTTATGTTGGCTGTTTGTTTTGTTTTTTAAATGCCCTGCATCAGGAAAAGGACAATATGTGTCAGGCTTGACGAACAATGTCATGAACACAAAATACAGGCTGGATGCCATTGCCTTTGGTACAGTGATAGCTAAAAGATTAATCCTTATAAGGTTAAAAGATGTGTCATTGGCTACTCTTCATTCAATGGAGAGTGTGAGTGGCTTCACAGAGATGC